GTTTTTAGAGGAATTAGAAAAAAATGAAAAGAAAATATTTTATTATAATAATATTTTATATATTTTTTGTTATTTTATATATTAAGTTAATTACTATTTATTATATTTAAAAATATTAAAAAAAAACATACATTTTTTTATGTATATATTGGGTTAGAAGAAATGTAATTGTATTCATATTTTTAGCATGAAATAAAAAATGTCAAACTTTAATATTTTTAGTTTTCATATTTTTATTATTTAGTAGATTGTTAATAACACATATAAAATCAACACAAGATTATTAATCATTCATGTTGCTTTTAGATTCGAGCGAAGAAAAAGGGAGTTGATTTATGAAGAAAGTATAAAAATCATGATATTAAAAAGATAAAAATCATGATATTAAAAAGATAAAAATCATGATAATCATAAAACTTGACACAACCTGAGTTAACCAAATTTGATTGAGTTCATGTGGATTCACATTTCTGATTGAGTCTTTTCTTTCCACCAAGTGTGATTCTGGATCGATTCTCATATTTCTATTGTGACGAAGAATATGTAAATTCTACTATAAATTCCTAGTAATGTTGATAGTTTTTCTTTTCTCTAATGAAAGGAATAGTCCAATCAAAATTCCACAACATTTTCTCTTCTCTACTGTCTCTCAATTTTGAATTTTATGGCAATCATAACAACCGAGTTCAACTAGATTTCATGTATCCTTTTATACTATTCGTTTATAAGAATCAAAGTCCGACCAATCAATATAAAATATATTGTTCTTTGATAAAATATCTTTTCCAAAATTACTCAGTAGTAACCTTTTATTGGAAACGGAACAATATATATAGAGAACACATTTATTTTAAAAGGAAATTTTTTTTAAACTACGTTTTATCTTTATTATTTATTTTCTTATAATTTTATTATTGAGATAAAATACTATTTTAGAATGATATATTAAAAAATAAAAAATATATATCAAATTCATATTTTCAAATAAATGGTTCTTTATATATTAACTATAAAAATAATTATTAATAATGACAAAAAAAAATACTAGCTTAAGGGGAGACTTTGACTGTTGAAAGAGAGTTAGGGGCTAAATACAGGAAATAGAGTGATTAGTGTATAGATAGTTAAGTTTGAAGTTCATGCCATGCTTCTCCAGTGGGTTTAATGTCACTGAAATAACCCATAACCCATTGTCTGTGAAGTACATGACAGATTCTTCGTGATAACTAGGTCCCCTACGCAAACATGCAGAGAGAGAGAGAGAGAGAGACTGTTTCATAGGGGGTGGTGAGTGATGAACTCCCATTTCTCAATTTTGTTTTTTGGCTATGGTTTTGGTGTGCTAACTATTCATTAGCTCTGCGCCGGCCTGCTTCCTAATTAAGACCCAATTAACTTTCTCTTCTGTTGACTTTAATAAGTGAGCAAAGTTATATATATAAAAAAGAATTTTAAACAAAAAAATTGGGTAGAATTATCATCCACCATAAAACTTTTATTTTGAATATTTAACCTAGTATTTTGTAAAAATTTGTACAAAATCCCTATACCTAGTATTCTGTACTGCCAACCAACACAAGTTGTTTTGTTGCTGGGTTCAATGCTTTTATTCTTAATTTCGTTCCTTTTAAATCAGAAACTTCGACCAAAAAAATGTGTATTGTCTTCAATCTCTGTTCCATTGTCTGTGTTGATTTTTAAACGACAATATGCACATTCATCTGATTTGGGTGCAGTGCAAGCCATGAAATATGACAATACAAACAAGTGTAGGTGGCCATTTATTGTTATAAATACTAAAGCAATTGAAACATTTTCTTATTTGTTCTGTATAAAAACATCAGAGGAAAAAATTTCTTTTCCAAGTGATTGTCTTATTGAATGTCCCTATGAACATATATGTTAGAGAATGGCAGAGTAGCTGGAAACATAATTATGAACAACACATCCAATAAGAGTTTGAGAGATAAATGGCCACCATGACCTGTTTTGTTTGTCTCCAACTTCAATGAATTGTCAATTCATATTTTTTATCATAACTCAACATCTTCCATTAGTTTTAACTCAGAATAATTAATATATATATATATATATATATATATATAAATAAATTAAAAAATAATTATGAATTTAAAACTAATTGATTGATAAAACTGTTTTTTCACTTTATTCTTTATTCTTCACTCTTCTCGTCTGTATTTTCTTACACTAGTCCCATCAGTGTTATAAATTAACAAGTTGATCAGTATCCCAAGATGAATAGAGTTAAAAAAAACTTGGTTATATTAAAGCATTTCCAATGTTATCAATCTAAAATACTTAATTTTATTAAAATAATTTAGCTTTTTTATATATATATATAAAATCATATTATATTCAATTTGTAAATAAATTTTCTTTAACAGTGAAAAGTTCAAACAACTTACATTTTAAGAATTTTTTATTTATATTTAATTTTGTTTTGTTATGGAAAACAATAAAATGAGATTTTATTTATAATCAATCAAATTATTAAAAGAAAAAACTTATTTATAAAAAAATCATCATATTTAATATTGATTACTCTACAAGGACACTATAATGTTACGAGAACCTTACATTAACAAAACATCAAACATCTGAGGAGAAAACGACAAATTAAACACAAAAGAGTCAGAATCACTTGTTATTTGAAATCTTAGAATAGAGACATACATGTCAAGATCATTCTGCTGAGAAAAACTTATTTACAAGATCACAATCAATCACAAAAAGACAACCCTAAGAAAAAATTTCATTGCAATACAATAGAGAGAAACAATTCAATGTATTATTTAACAATTTTAATAGTAAAAAAATTTAATAATTTAAGATATATAATAAAATATATTTATATACTTTTCACACCATTTACATGTATAATGTTAGAAAATTCTTTATGATGTATAATTTGAGGATTTGTTAAATGAAATGAGGGCAAAAGGCAAGGTTTTCCTTTTAAGAACAGTCTGGCTAGTAAATATCATAAAGATGGGTTTTGGTTTTGAGTTTGATGCATGCTGGTAAAGTAGCAAATTCATGTTTTAGCCATTTATTAACAAGACAAGGGTGAGTATTAGGGTATCAATACTATATAAAGTGGGAGACTTTTATTAACACTTTCTCAACTTAAGTTGATAAATTTGTTTTAAGCCAAAAAAAAAATGCGAGAATGTGCACACATATATAAATGAGATGGATAGAACCCTTTATAAGGAACAAATATTATTATAAGTCAAAATTTTGTTTATTTTGTCATATTTTTTTTAATATATGTTGAGAATGTTTTATAGAGTAACTTAATATTTGAAAAGTGGTAGAATCAAACCGTATTCTTTGTAATGAGATAAGTATAAGTTTTTATAGAAGTATTATCTGCATTACACACTGTCAACTCTTAAAAATATTTTTTATAGCATCTGTACGTGGAAAAGTAAATACTCAATGTTCTCACAATACTTCTTAATATGAAAAAAAAAAATCACCTATCATATTCTTATGTTTGATCTTCACTACCTCAATGGCATAAGAAAAAAAGAACGAAGAGATTATGAGGTGGAAAGAAGGCCATGTCCTTGCAATAGTTGAGGTTAGAAATTGCCAAAGGTGTTAAGTGGGGTTTCAACCTAGAATTCCGTACTCAAACACCTACACAATTAATACCAGGAAAGAGAAATTTGACTTCTTTTAAAAAAAAATTGAATTAGTAAAAAGCTTAACACAATTTTTGTTTGTTATATACATTTGAAAGACATGATGATGAAACTCAAGAAAGTCATTCCAGCACTCTAAAGAGAGCTAGCTTTGGGGTTTAATCACACACAATATTATGCGTCTTCTTTTTTTCAATTCATTTCATTAGAAATGTTTATTAAAAAAAATAATGAAAGAGAAAGATATACTGAAGAAGCTGGAGGATGCAGTACTTGCTTGCGAATAAAGGAAAACCTAAAAATGGAAGGGAGATAGGTGGAGGGCAAGGCCAATGAAAAAGAAGAGAAAAATTGTATTTAAAGAAGAAAAAAAATGAAAGAAAAATAGGACAGAGGCAAAATTGTCATAAGCAAAGTCTCTTTTTGGGGCAGAGGCATCGATTCGTGAAGTCTCCATCTTGTTCTCTCAAACCCAGGAAACAAACAACACTCACAAAATATCCCTTCTTTCTAAAAACCTCACTCACACACTGAAGTCTCCATTCCCTCACTCTGCGCGGGAACATCTTTCTCTCTCCCTCAAACAACACAAAACACCTAACAAACAAACATTCAATGATGTTACTTAAGTAATAACTTCACCCCAAAACACAACATAAATGCAAAATTCTAAAAGAAAAATGAAAATTCTTCTTGGAGCCGCGCTTTGCAGAAGTAGTACAATCATGACACCCCTTCTCTAATCATGCACTTACACTACACTACATTGCATCCTTTCTCTTTCTCTCTCTTTAACTTGTCAAGAATGACACATCAAAACACAACTGTGATCCTTCTTCACTTAATTGAAATAAAAGGGTTAATGATAAGAATATAATAATAAAAGAAAATGAACATAAAAAACACAGATCGAACCGTCTTATTCACGGCAGTTCCCCCACTCTCTTGACTTTTTAGTTTTTTCTCCTTTCTGTTGCTACTTTTCATCGTTTCGGATGTTTGCTTTTGCTTGCTGTGATCCTCTCTACTTTGTGACTTTCCCTTTTGAAGATATGGCAGAAGTGCCATCATCTATCTATCAAGCCAACAAGCGCATTCAAAACCCTTTTGAGAACATGTCACCCCGCAATCCCCAACAAATAGAAAAAACAAACACCTCCATTAGTTAAAACTTAAACCCAACAACAACACTACCTAGTTCAGCTTCAATGCAAACATAGCTACCTCCTTGTTACTACCACTACCACACTTGTTCCGGCTCCTAACTTCCTTCTTTGTGTCTCATTCTCTCATAAAAAACCCTTCTTTGATAGGGCCCATTACTCCATAATGGGAGACAAGGTAGATACAGCGAAGAAGCAACAACAACAACCTCAGTCTCACCTCCACCAACAGCAGCAACAACAGACACAGCAAATTTCATCTTCTCCTAAAGCCCCACGCGAGGAAGCTATCACAGAAGTTAGGTCAATCCACCACCATCAACAATTATCACCAGTTGTGGTTGTAACTGGAGCACCCCCTTTCATTTCCAGTCCTTTATATGTTTCCAGTGGTGCAAGTTCTTCACCCTATGAGCCTCAGTTTGAAACACTGAACCCCAAGAGACCCAGATACGGCGGACAATGGAAGCAGCTTCTACCTTCCCCTCCTGCACAACAAAAACAGTCCCAAATGGCCATGCTTCCCACCACAGAATCAAGCCCTTCACCAACCACGCACACTTCATCAAATCCACAACTACAACAACCCCAAACACAAACAGCTTCGTCATCAGACACTTCCTCATCTCCAACTCACTCTCTCCCATTACTCTCAGGAGGTTCTGGTCAGGAAGGGAGCAAGCAAGAAGGGGAGCAAGTTCACCAGCAACTCAGAAAGGGGAAATATGTAAGCCCAGTTTGGAAGCCCAATGAAATGCTGTGGCTGGCAAGGGCTTGGAAGGAACAATACCAAGGTGGAGGTGGTAGTGGATCTGAATCTTCTTCAAGGGTAGAACAACAACAGCAAGCTGAATTGGGAATCACAAGAGGTAAAACTAGGGCTGATAAAGATAAAGAAGTGGCTGAGTTTCTCAAGAAGCACGGGGTCAATCGAGATGCTAAAACTGCAGGTACTAAATGGGATAACATGTTAGGTGAGTTCAGAAAAGTGTACGAATGGGAAAGAGGGGGTGAAAGAGAACAAATTGGGAAGAGTTATTTCAGGCTTTCACCATATGAGAGAAAGTTACATAGACTCCCGGCTTCTTTTGATGAAGATGTTTTTGAAGAACTTGCACAGTTCATGGGGTCCAGAATGAGATCCTCTCATGGCAGGGCTGGTTCATCTTTTGTGTCAGGAGACGAAGCTAGAACAGCTCTTGCTGCTGCAAGAGCTCTTCCACCACCACCTCGACCCTTCAAAGATGATGAAACCCCTCTCTCAGGTTTTGTAGTTAGTTGAAGCATGAAAATGGGAAAATCACATGATCTTACTTTTTAGTTTTATTCCACTTCCCCACTTTTCCTTCATCACCTATAATCTTCAATGCACTTGGCAAACGTAACTCCACACACAGTAAAGTGTCTGTTTCTCAATTACTTTTATAATTTTGTTTTCCCTTTTATGGAATGCACAGTAGTTTTGATGCATTCACCAAGGATTCAAAGGAACAGTATATTTCCTGGATTGTCTGACCTTTAAAATTATTGGCACTGTTTCCTACCTTTTCAGGGAAGGATGATGCATTAGAAAATGAGGAATGAAAAATGTAATGAAAGTTCCAAACATGTCTTTTTAACCATCCACCTTGTCATTGTTGCAGCTAGGACGAAACAATTGGCCATAACAAGTGGGGTTGAACCTTTCTTTCATGGCTCAAGAGGGGGTTTATTAGGGTTAGACACACTCTTGGACGTTTCGGGTTCTTCTTCATCATCCAAAGAGCTCCGAAGAATGGGAAAGATAAGAATGACATGGGAGGAATCTGTGAGTTTATGGGCAGAAGAAGGTGAAATACATAGAGGGAGAGTGAAGCTTAAATCTTCAAGCTTTCTAAACGCGGATGAACTCTCCTGCTTTGATGATGCCATGGTTCCTTGTCCCATGGAATATTTCGAAGATGGGCCTCTGAAAGGTTTTTCTGTTGACAGATTCGTTTCGGGGCAGCAAGTCAAAGTTTTTGGCAGAAGAAAGTCTTCTCCAGCCTCAGATTCTGCTGGTGCCAAGCCTAACCTGTTTCCTTAAATTGAACTACGTTGCCTTGTTTTACATATTCTAGGATTCTATCTAACTGTGTCATTGTCTCTCTTTCCCAGGTTTTGCTGAAAGAGTCCACCTTCCCTCCAAAGCGCTTCCTATAAGATGTGAGTGCTCTTTTTCCCAGTGGTCACTGCCCTCATTCCATGTTCTAGCTAGTAGTCTCTAAATAGCCTCTAATTTGATGTGTTCAATTTTGCAAAAAAAAAAAAAAAAAAACTGTCAGCAACAACAATGAAGAGGGTCCAATGTCCATTCCTACTCAAAATCATTCTCTTTTTTTTTAAAACATGTTAGCATCATTCGTTTTTATTAATCAACTTATTTCATGTTCTTAGAATATTAAATATGCTCCTTTAAAAAAAAAACATTAACAAGGCATTATAAAGATTAATTAATAATTATCACAGAATATATCAGTTTTATCCTCATCTATTTATTGTTGTCATTAACATTTTTTTCCTTCCATTACTAAATTTAATTGGGAAATCAACACCGATTTTTTCTTTGAATTAATATCCTCGCATATGTAACCCTAATGTAATGAAGCTATTTAACTAATTCTTGAAAATTGAATATTTATTTAGCTCATAAATCGGTGTATTTTGGTAAAATTTAATGGACTAATTTGAAACACAATTTTTACTGTAATGTGAAACATTCTTAATATTTTAGAAATTTCCATACTAAGCTTAACTTAAAGAATATTTTTAAAATTCCGGGGACAATGTAATTAATTTGCTTAACTAAAGAAAGCAATCCTTTGGGTAATTACTTCAGGAATCTATCCGAAGTAGCAGTATACCTATTTTCTTTTACTTGGACTATTAATATTATTATTATTATTATGATGTGAAATTGAATAGAGAATTATTATTAAACTTTGTGTTGGTGTTGCAGCGATCTCTTCATTGGATTTTCGAGACCCAACAGAATACTACATGGAATGCCTCTTACGTGCGTCCCCACAAACCCTCCCAAGTCTCTTCGAGTTAAAGCGTCACCTTCAAGAGCCACCACCGGAAGACCTACGTTTCCCTCTCCGAAGAGACGTGTACGAGGATCTTCCCCAAGGGAAGGAACTCTTCTTCATAACAACACCTGAACCCTTGGACTGCAGAACCATTATGTACGACATTGTGGGGCCCATCATACGCACCAACAACCCTAGCCTCTCCCTCGCCACGTCAACAAGCCGTGACTCCTTCATCCCCCTCTGGGACGAGTGCATCAACCGCGTCATCCAAAAATTCTGCCCTGAAGAATTCACCCTAATCCGAAAACCCACGTCACCACCACCAGAATCTACGAGCCAATCCATGCTGCAAGATCAATGGCCCAACGTAACCGGTTTCGTGAACAATTACTGTCTCTGGAGAGGTGAAGAAACGCACCAGTTGAAAGAGTCGCAACCCAATCCATCAACAACGTTAGTCGGGAAACTGCTCTGGACCTACATGGATCTTCCGTACATACTCGGGTACTATGCGGTGGCGAACACGGTGACGTTTTGCGCTCTGAGTAGGTCGCAGGAGGGAATAATCAACCGCACCGATTTACACGAAGTGAACTTAACTACCCCAATGGAGAAGTTGAAAGCTTTGGTTCCGTGTTTCAGAATAGGGTTGCTGTTACCGCTGTTGAGTAAGCGTTGCGCGAGTATAAGCAACTGCAAGGGGTTTACGTACAGTGATTTCGAGAGGGTTTGCTACGGTAACGGAGTGGTGACGGAGGTGACGCCGAGCACGTGCACGAGGGTGTTTATGGAGAAGCGGAAGTGGATGGCGGTGAAAGAGGTTTACGAGATTCTGGACCATAGGATTCCGCATGCAGAGGTTTTGGTGAGTTTTTCAGAGAGGGAACTGGGGTTGTCGTTTAAGCCAAGAGGGTGTCGTGTGAAGCCAGGGAACTGCGAGGAGTTGGTGGAGGCGTTGAAGTTCGTGACGAAGGCGATGGTGGCTTTACACGACTTGTCGTTTATGCATAGGGATTTGAAGTGGGAGAAGGTGATGCGGCGAATGGATCGGGAGGAGTGGTTCGTGTGTGGGTTCGACGAGGCGGCGGGGGCGCCGGAGCTGAAGGGACACGTGGCGGGGGCGCGTGGGGCGCACGCGCCGGAGATGGAGCGGGGTTTGCATGGGGTGAAGGTTGATGTGTGGGGAGTGGGGAATTTGATTAGGACGTGTGGATTGGGAGGGGTGCCGAAGATGCTGAGGGACTTGCAGAATCGGTGCATGGAGCAGAACCCGGAGCAGAGGCCCACGGCGGCGGACTGCTACCACCACCTGCTGCAGCTGCAGTCGTCCCTGTCAGCCGCCGCCGGGGGAGTCATGATGATGTGATTGATGATGGAAATGGGAAGGCATTGTTTGGTTGGTTTGTTTTAATTAATTAATGGGGATGAGAGATGAGTCGGAGAGAATAATGTTGACGTTGGTCTAGGTTTCGGTCTTTTTTTCTTTTTTTTTTTCATGTAACTTTTTTGGCATTGGATATTATTTGAATTGAGCATTTGGATGGGGAAAACAAAATATTTTTTTTCAAAATAAAGTTAGGTAATGCTTAAGATTTGTTTGGAATTTGTTACTATTTTTATTCATCGGAAGTTTGATTATATGATTAAATTAGGATGAATAATCACTTACCTGAAGTACTATATAATAAACACACACTGGGTTATAAATTATATATCATAAAAAACAAGAAGTGTTTTTAGTTATAAAGAATAATTTAGATTCTGAAAATAAGAAAAGTGTAGTAACTTACTACTTACAAGTGAAACTTACAAGATTTAAAATAAAATCTAATAAATTTCAAAGATACTGAGAATCATTGATGGATGCATGGGTGAAGTGGTATAAAAAAGTGATTGAATAACTATTGATTTTTTGTTGTATTCCATTAAAGTTTTATACAGAATAGTGTTGAACATTAAGATGAATATAATAATATTATTTGTTTAGTTTTTTTGAAAATTTAATTTAATCACTTATTCTCTGTTGAGTTTTTGTTGTGAAGAGTGATGAAGGTAGGGAGTGGAATTGGCGGCTGATGGTGGCTGTGAGGGAAGTTTCATCAAATCAAATCCAATGCAGGAATTGAAGCTCTGTTAAGTGTGAAGTGGAGCAGTGTTTTTCAGTTTTGGATTGGTACCTCTCCAAACTCAACATTGTTTGTTAGCATCACACAGCGTTCTTCATTGAGTTAGGTGACAAGCTTCATCTTTTATCAACTTTCTTTTCTTCTATCCACCTTTATTCATCTTTTCGACATTTTGGAAAAGATTATCTAGTCTTAGATTTTGGTTTGTATAAATCATTAGCCTTTTTAGGTCTGTTATAGAGGATTTGGTCAAGGTGAATATTACAAAGACGACTTATTTATGAACTACCTTTTTTAATGGTTCAATATATTATTATTTTAATTGTTTTTTTTTAATATATGAGGATATATATATATATATATATATATATATATATATATATATATATATATATATATATATATATATATATATATATTAATGGAGCTTTTCGAGTGTGATATGTTTCTTTACAATGTGTTATATGTTTAATACAAACATTATTAATCATATATTTTATATTCACAATATTGTAACATGAAACTTAAAGAATTTAACTTCAATTCTATATATTCGTATCAACATAATATTTGCGCGTAATGTAAAACTTCGTTTTTTACTACTAGAAGTTTTTTTGGACACACTACAAGATTTCAAACAATTTGTTGGCAAAATAATTGGATAGTTGCTTTTTATATGAATGCAATAATTAATAATTGTACATTTAATGTGTTGAAAATAATTATTTTAAAGAGTCAAAATAAAGTTTCTTTATGACAAATAATACACCTACGTACAAGTAAATTGATTATGTTGAACCACTGCTACGTAATTATAATAAGATTGTGGTTAAATCTATGTCCATTTGTACCTTGAAAGACGAATCCAAAGTACATCTCTAAAGTTTATTATCTTATTAATGATTTGTGAATGAGAATGGTTGTTGATTCATTAATTAAAGCCCAAGAAAAAGAACTATATATTGTACTACTCATCTCCCATATCTTGATTAGGGTAGATACAAGTATAAATTATTAGTAGAATTATTATTGGATTTGTTAAATAAAGATATAAGTAGAAGAAAAAGCTAATAAAATTTTCAATGCTAAACATTTTATTTTAATGAGCCAATCTTATTAATAGTAGGTAAAGGAATAATGAAATCTAAATTCAAGAGAGAAAATACAAAAGTAAAACCTCATTCTCCCACCTTATATTATACTCTAAATATATATAGATTAAAAAGTCGAAAACTAATTTATGATCTATCTAGTCCATACCCAAACCATCTAAACCACATAAGAAAAAACATAGAAGAGTATGTTACGTTTGAAACAAATCAATGTAATGGAAAATAAGACACCTTATTTAAATAATGGATAACAAAAATATCATTTTTGAAAATGTAAGAACTTCTACAAAAGTATTCATTTAGTAAACGTATGATCTTACTGTTGTAAAAATTATTATTATTATTATTATTTTATCATTTAGATTTTGCCACGATATAATATTATTGCATGCACGTATATATGTTTCGAAAAGAGTAACATTATATGAGTTGATTAAAACATTTCATCAATAATTTTTTTCAATTCCAATTTCTTTTTACTTTTTCTCCACCACTCTTGGTCACTCACTCTTCTATATGCCTTTTCTTTTTTCTTTCAATAGAATTTTAAGTCGAAGCCTCCACACTTTTCTTGTAGTTTACATCGTACCATTTAAATAGCTCTTTCTAGCTATCATAAAGTCCCAAAAACACTTTTTACACTCAGCAAAAGTGTACCAAAAATAAATAAATTAAATGACACAAGATACTCTATACCTACACTTCAACTCTTTCGATTCTGCAATCTTTCAGTTTCTTTCATGAGAGTGTTATTATGTAGCACACACATTGTAGAATCATTAATGTTACTGCTAAACATAATACTTAACAAACCCTCTCTGCCACTTTGAACTGTCATATGTTTTTGCTAACTGAATATGTTTTAGTTTTTTTTTTTTCTTGTATATCAACCTTTTCTGGCTTTTTTGGTACTTTTCTTTGCCTATGATACCATAAATTATTTTACAATCCCTAAATATACCTTTTCAATGTAGTTTTCACAACCAACTTACCCCATTCTTTCCACCATATAAGAAAAGAATGTAAAAAAAATCTATTCTATATCTTAATATTGTATTTGAATGAGAATTTTTTGGAAAATAATTTACTTACATAAAATTTGAAATTCTTATAATACAACATATTATCAGGATAATTTTAAAAATAAATTAAAATTCTGAAAATTTATATGAATAATTTGATTACTTAAAATTTTAAAAATTAATTTATTCTAAAAAAAAGAATTTAAAACTATTCATATTTTTTATATTAAATTTATATCTTTTCTTTTTTATAATTTTTTATAAATTATTACATTAATTTTAAATAATAATAACTTTATTATATTTTTTCTTATTTTATGCTTATAATTTTTTTTCTATTGTATTTTATATTTATAAATTTTTATAATAATGTTTGATCATGATGATAACTTTTACTACTATAATTATTTTTTATAAAAATTTATCATTAATAAATTTATTATAGTATAAAAAATATTATTTTATTAAATATGTTTTATTAAAGTAAGATGTTGATACTTGAATTTAAAGAGGACCTTAAATTTGGGTTACTCTTCATCGGAATGAGTAGTTATAGATAGAATATTGGAGATATTTGCACAAGTTTTTTTGATGATATTTAAGTATGTGAACCAGAAAATAGAATGTGAATAAGTAAGTGAATCAAGTGAGATAGTAAATTTGTTTATATAAGAATAAGATATTATAACTATTTGAAAAATATGAAATATTTTATATTTATTTGTTATAGAATAATTAAGGTGATTTTTTAATATCAATCTCGACAATTCTCGAATTTGTTTTGGGACAATTATGTAAATAAAGTAATTTTCATCTTCTTTTATCACCAATGTGGAACACAACATGGATGTCGTGAGTATTAATTTTGCATTCAAATTTGAATAACCTTGAGACAACAAGATTTCGAATCTGACAATCTCGTTATACATTGAAAAAAAAATTCATAGGGACAGCATGCGACTTATTGTTCTTGGTTATGTTAAAAGGGACAGTGCGATTAAATTCTTCCATAATTCAACAAAAGTTAAGTAGTATGTTAGAAACGTCATAGATGGTCGAAAAAGAAACAATAAAGAAAATAATTGAAACGTGAAAGGTATTTTGGGTGTGAAGGAAGAATGTTAATGAAAAAAATCCTTTTTTCTTAGGGATTGCACGCGGTCTTAATTAAAGATCAAATTGTTTCTTTTAAGCTTTCATACAAAGGTGAAAACAATGGGATGAACGTAAAAGTAAGAAAGTTGTATCTTGTATCTATTCATACTTCAATCCTGTCTTTGTTATTAACTTTTCCTTCCACTCCAACAAATTATTACAAGTTTAAAGACAAACTTTTTTTTATTAGTGGTATGTTTAAAGACATAAATTTTGACCTTTGAACCTATGCTCTGTCTTTCCTTCTCTTCCAATAACTAAAGGAAGTAGGAACCCTTGTCCTTCAAAAAAAAAAAAAAAGGAATGGTTTGATTATATATTCATTTAATTTTAAATAAGATTCAATTCATGATCAGTTTTGTTTGAATATTTTTATGAAAAACGTGTTTTAATTGAATTTTGTTTCAAACTTATTATAATATGTATGCTTTAAAAGAAAATAGAAAATCTTTAAATAAAAAGTGTTTTAGTCTGAATAAAAGGAAAACTATCTAATCACTCCTTTTTTTAATTTCTGATAATAAACACTCCACCACCAATAAATATATATTCTCAAAAAAATCAAACGATAATAAATTAGTGACTTATATTTTAATTTCGGCTCCAATGAAGATGTTTTTATATTAGAAGTAATTGATTTTGTCTTCCCATGTAGGGTTTAATGTTTAAACTTTAGGTTTTAATAGAGTCACAGACGCAATTGATGAGTTGTGTTCCGGATCTGTAGAGACAAAGAAAGTTTCGTTGTTTGAACGAGGAGATGAGATTATAAGTTACCATTTTAAGACTGTTAAAAGTATTTTTTTTTAAATATATGTTTATATGAAAAAAATACTGTTATGTTTTTAAACGAGAGAATAATGTATAGAGTATTTTTTTATGTGAACTTCTATTATTTTTAAAAGAAATTATTTTCAATCTTAAGATCGAAACTCAAAATCTAATTTATCA